TAATTACATTGAAAATAATTCAGCCACTTTAATAACTGCAACTGAACTAGAATTATATGCTATAAGAGACTCTATATAATATTATTAGGACAAAATCACGTGACCTGTGACATCATGCAAAAAAAAATCATGTGACCTGTGACGCCATGCAAGAAATTTTCGTGATCTTTGACGTCAAAGAAATGAAATTGACACTAATTTTTTAAAATTAAAAAATCATTTTTTAAATTTATATAAATTTAAAAAATTTTATTTCTTAGTTATAATATTTATACACATTATGGATGATAATGAACCATATATTAATATTAATATATGGTTGAAAATATGGTTGAAAATGAAAATGAGCTAGAACCGACAATATGGATGATAATGAACCCTATATTTATTTAAATATAAGGTTGAAAATATGGTTGAAATGAAAATGAGCTAGAACCGGAAATCTTATATGATAAAAATAAAAAATGAGCTAGAGCATACTTGAAAATGAACTCTATATTTAATTAAAATACATGGTTGGAAATATGGTTAAAAAAAATGAGCTAGAACCGGCATATCCTATCTACTGATATGGGCCAAAAAGATATCAAAGTTGGATATACTCCTTTAATAAATAGAAAAAGACAAAAATCTTGTTTAAATATTCAATTCTAAAAAGTATAGTATTTGGTTTGTTGTACTGAGGTTGTACTGGTACTGAGGCTGTAAGATGTGGTATTTGTTGTACTGAGGTTGTACTGGTACTGAGGTTGTTAGATCTGGTATTTGGGGCTGCTTTAATAAAAATTGAATAGGAATATAACAATTATACTGGCTGAATCAACACACCTAAATAGAGACTGATTGATTGAAGCGAACAGTGACAGTTTCAACAACATATGACATATGCTCACACAACTTGTTCAGTCCAAGCATGGATGAAAGAAAAAAAGTACATTTATTGCTCTGGCTGACTCAATCACCAGATTTGAATCTAATTAATTTTAATTGGAGTTGCGTAGGATTAGACAAGGTGTGAAAAAGATTCGTATAGATTATAAATGCAAAAACATGATGGCATTTGAGGGTTTCCAAAATTTGCAACAATCTTGCTTGCAAAAAAGATAATTTAAGTTTTTATGCTACTAGGACAAATAATTTTGCACAAAGGAAAAAACTAGAGGAAAATTAGTATTATTTGAATGATAGCAACAAAAGCATTAGGTGGTTAAACTCCTGTTTGTCATAAGTAAATTTAAGTTGCTGATTCAAAAGCTAAAAGGTAACTCCACCATTATTAATTGTTTTGCACTAACAGGAATTTTAGAAGAGCAGCAGATGACGACAATAAACCTATTATCTATTCAAAACAAAAAAAACTTTTAAACTACAAAATACAACAACTGAAGAATGAAAGCCTTATGAGAACAGTAGATTTACTAAGAGATAAACAGTTCATAGAAGAATTGAAAAGAAGTGAATGAAAATCAAGCTGATGACAAGAAAGATAATGACAATATAGGTGTTATAGACCCAGTTTGCCTCAAATTTAGTGATATTCAGGAGGCATTGCTAATATTGTATGACTATATGACCTTCAGTCTTAATTAACTAGGTAATTCAATAAAAGCTCAATACACTCTTAATTTTATTTGACAGAAGTGTTTGACAGAGGTAATACTTTAAAGGTGAGACATAATGGGTGTCATAAGAAAATTTTTTAACTGATGTTTTTTTTTTCCTTTTTCTTTATCAAAATATTTATTTTTACTTATTGGCAAAAGTTTTTTTCTTGGTAATTTTAACATTTTAATAAGTCGAACCATTTACTTGGTCCCTCGGAAGCTAGACTCATTTTTATTCCATAATAAATAAATAAAAATTCTACACATATGGTGCATTCCATAGTTACTGATGTAACGTTTGCAAATTTCATACCTAATTTAAATACTTTCCATTTATAATAGATCCTTATAATAAAAGTCAAAATGTATATATATATATATATATATATATATATATATATATATATATATATATATATATATATATATATATATATATATATATATATATATATATATATATGGGTAATATATATGGGTAATATAGTATATATATATATGGGTATATATATACATATATATATATATACATATATATATATATATATATATATATATATATATATATATATATATATATATATATATATATATATATATATATATATATATGGGTAATATTGGTCTATGTATAAAAATTCTAGACTATTCGTATTTATCTTCAAGTAGAAAAATATATGTTTGTTACTGACGTAACGCTGCGATCTGCTATTTTTCTAATATTAACATTTGACTTCAAGTTTCTCAGAAAGTTAAAAAAAGAACAACTGAAAAAGTACTTCGAATTAAAGACTCATTTGTGTAGATGATTTATTGTAAATATAAGCTATAAAGATGTATTAATTCCCTTTGCAGAAGATATTATTCTGAAGTTCATTAATTACTGACATTACGTTACTGATGAAAGGCTCTAACTCAGAGAATCATAGTTGTTTAAAAACATGTCAAGTTTTATTTTATTTTTTAATAACATTTATTATTGATAAAATTGATATATTAAAGATATTATATAATTCTAGTAAACCTTGGGCGTAGCCTGTGGGTGCCAAAATGAAAAGACGCTTAAATGCCAAAGATTTTTATTTTTAAGTAACTATTCAGTTGCTTTAACTTTAATTTTTATTTTTTTATTTTTAAGTAACTATTCAGTTGCTTTAACTAAATTTGGTAAATATTTGTGTGACTTCTTTATTAATACTTTGAGAGTAAAGGGCATAAAACGATAATTTAGTTTTAATCTTGTGTCGTTTTTGTAACATTTTAAAAGACTCCATTATATACTTATTTTTGAACTGAGATGTTGTATTATCACTCCAAAATGAAACTTGTTGGACTGTTTCTGGCAGCTGCTCCATAATGACATCGATAAACAGAGCCACAGGTTCTTTTGAATGTTTTTGATGGTCTGATGCAATTGCAAGTAACTGCAAATAACACCGATGGTATACAACCCAGGTAAAATTGAAATTGGAGTCTGGCTGTAATGAGCGCTTTGTGGTTTGTTTTAAGTGATGCATTTAAGGTTTTCTGTAAAATCAACTCCTACGACAGCTTGGTTAGAATTTTGTTGTATACATATATCAATCATTTGATGATATAGTTTAGTTTGCTTAATTTTTAAATATGCGTGATACAAAAAATCAGGAGCTAGTTTGTATAATTCATATAATACTTCACTTATCGGCCCAGACTTACAGACTTTCTTGATATTGCAATAAACGTTAGAACGATTCTTTTTTAATTCAGTTTTAACCCATTTTTGCCAAGTTACTTGATTATTTAAACTCTCAATTTCATACTCCAATATTTGAATGTTAGGTGTATTCTTACAATATTCACAATGGTTCATGAAACACTCAATAAGCGGATTCTCACATGTGAAGTTCAAGTGCATGTCATTATCTGTCAACAAATAATCAAATATGCAATATGACTTTTTTAAAGTTACTAATTTAAAATGCATATTTTTATGAATAGCGCAAACACAAACTTTATGTGATACTTTGGTGATTGACAAAACATAAATGATCTTAAGTAAAAAAAGTTTGTTAATCCAATAATAATACTTGGATTCTGTTTTTTAAACATTCCATAAACTTCCTTTATAGGGTAGATCAAATGTTTAACACTAAGTTTTTTTTTAATTTCGCCTTCACAAGCTTCAACAAAGTCTTATATGTTTGGTGATGTTGTACTTATATCATCACTTAGATAAAAACCTTGCATTTATTTTAACATCTGATACACTTTTACAGTTGCTGCGGTTTAACTTAAACGGTTGATTTTCAACTAATAAAATGGAATTAATTTGGTCTGGAGATCCAATTAAGGCATTTTTCACTTTTTTCATTAACTTACATTTGACTATAGGACAAGAAAAAGGACTTGTCTTATTTGTTGATTGAGCAGCAGTTCTCTTCTTCTCTCTATACTTCTTTTGCCTTTCGCTATTTTTTATATTTCTTATTTTCCTTTGCTCATCATTGAGTGAAATTTTAAATTTTTGTCTATAAATTTTTGAATAACATGAATTAAGAGTTTTGTTTTGCTCTGGATTCTGTTTCCTTCATTTTGCAGACTTTTTTTTGGTGTCTTACTATATAATAAAAAACAAAATTACTTTTTTTATACTATTTATATATAACTTGAGTGACTTGATTATTAAACAATTAAAAAATAAAACTCACGATACGACAATTTAATTTTTCACAAGTAAATTTAATGCTTACAAGTACAATTTTAAATTATGAAAAAATAAAAGTTCTGTGGTAATGTAAACCATTGTTATTTAAAGTTGTGTTCCATCACTGATATCTTTTAGTCACGTTTTCAAAGTAGTTACTGACGTAACGCAACTTTAAGTATAAAATTTGGAATTAATTTTTCTTTGATAGAAAAAATAATAATAAATTTTTATTTTAAATAATCAAGAGTTTCATTTTATTAAAAAAAAATTTTAAAAATTTTTATTAATTATTTACTTTTGGTTAAAGATCTTTTTTTGTTATGAAATAGTGCATCTCCCTTCTCCCTTTACGTATCAAAACTTTTAAAAAATTGCAATCACATATACTTAAAAGCATAATATTATTAAATGTACTTTATTGATTTTAGAAAATAAGAAAAAAGCTTAAAGGTATCTCATAGCTAAACTTTGAATTTATATTTATATCAATTTTAGAACATATAAAGTATATATTATAAAAATCCATAGGCAAAAAAAGACTTTTTAAATTACGATTTTATCAAAGTTTCTATGAAATGCACCATATTCATATTTCTAAAATTTAAAGTGTGAAGCAACCTAAAAAAAAAATTTTTTTTTTAAAAGTTTTTTTTGAATATAGAACCAACTGATAAGAAATAAGTTTAATACTTTTAAAATTTTAAACTTAC